CCCCCCCCCCCCCCCCCCCAAAAAAAAACCCCACAACATCAACTACTAACTAAACCGATCAAAAACTATATCCAGCTTCACGTATCAGGCATGGAAGACTATAATTGGACATTTACCAAAAGTAAACTCAAACAATGACAAGAGAAAGTTGGCCAACTTGAGTTTTTGAAAGGAACCCCAAATTCAAAATCCAAAATTGACTTCCAGCCAATCATAGAACCCAAAAGTTGGTGCCGCATTATCTCACATACGTCTTTAAACTTCTAATAATGGTATGCAAATTAAATCCAAGGTTAGTCGTTGACTGATGTCAAGTTTGAAATGTTTGCACAACTATGTCCAGTATTTTTACCCAAAATAACAATGTCCACTATCATTAACGATTTATTGTACAACCGCGTCGATTCATCATCATCAGTGAATAAAAAAAGTTCTTAAGTTAACCCAAAACTCTATAACTCGATAAAATCAAATTAGTCGAAACATGTGCAGCAGCCTCGTGTCGCCCTTGTTCAACTGAGAACGTGTTTCATTCTACAAATCTTGTTTAAAACTTATCTTTTAATGAATGTGTTTGCTGATCAAAAAACTTATTCTCTATTATGCAAGTTGGTCGTCATCTTGATAATTTCATAATCAAACATCTTGTCTTCTTTGGTGTCTAGCGAGGCATCATTTTCAAAAAAAATAATAAATCATATCATGTACAATGATTTTTTTGCTTGTGTATCATCTTTAAACCGGATATTTGAAAGAGTAAACAAAACCAAAGGTCTCTCTTTCAATGCTTATAACGTTTTAAATAATGCAAGTCTCATGCGTGGTCAAATCTTGATTCTTGAATATGCAACTTCAACCAAAGATAAACACATTTCTATTGTATTGATAGAAATTTGAAACTTTCCCATTCCCCCAGAGTCTCCGGTCAAACTCATCCTCATATGTTTTTTTCCAATAAAGCAGCAAAGTTCAACGACTATTGCAACGACTCTTCTTCCTCTGTAGCTCTGTCTAAACTCCCCATAAAGTCAACGCTCCTGTCTTAATACTATTATCTAAAGGACCATCAAGGTTAGGCGAGTTATAATCCAATCTCTTCAAAGATGGAAGCAAAGTCCTGATACTTTTTGTAGATCTATAGAAATCAAGAAACACAAGTGTATATTCACAACACCAATGAAGACTATCTCTATGTTGGTGTTCTTCTTCTTCCTACTCTTTCTCATGGCTGAAGCCCAAAGCAAGAACCGGACAGGTTCCGGTTCTTGCGAGACATTCTCTTGTGGAAGCCTCGACTTCAAGTTCCCTTTCTTTAACACAGACATGCCGTCTCGATGCGGTCTGTTCAAGCTGAACTGCAGTGATCACCATATTCCAGAGATACAACTTGAGGAAAAAGGGAAATGGTATAAAGTCATAACCGTCTCTCAAGCCAACACCATAACCATCACCGACCCAAGGCTTAACCAAAGCCTGGAAACAGGTTCATGCACTGACTTGTCAAGCTTCTCTCTTCCAGATTCTCCATGGCTCAAGTTGACCACTGTGTACAAATGCAACAACAGTAGGAAGAACGGTTTCACTTTTACAAATTGCCAAGGAGGAAGCAGCTTGTACTACTCTGATCTGAAAGATCATTCAGGGTGCTCAGTTATCAAGACTCCAGAGAGCTGGGTGATTCCAAGAAACAAGAACCAGTCTATTCTTAATGCTACTTTCTCTCTTCATATAGACCTACCTCAACGCTGCCATCGGTGTCATCATAACCGAGGAGGAGAATGTAAAATGATCAAAGACAAGTTTCGCTGCGTTAGGGGAACCAAAAGTATGACCACAATACACCTTGAATGATGAGTGGCACATTTTAAAGATGGCAATAATTCAATTTACCTTTTTCTTTTTGCAGAACCAAACAACCACCAAGGAGATAACTCATATAAGTTAAAGCTAGGATTAGGTAATAAGAGAGATGTTCTGTTTTACTCCTTTAGTTTCATCTAAACCCAAATTTTTAATCAGCTTCCTCTCTAACAATCCAGGAATAGGAGGAGCTGTCATCTTCATAATCATCTTGGTGGCACTCTTTATCCTCCTCCATAGGATTTACAGAAAGAAAACAAGTTCAGAACTCCTATCAAGAAACAACTCCAAATCTGACGTTGAGTTTAGCAATGTCTTCTTTAAGATACCAATCTTCACCTATAAAGAACTTCAAGAAGCAACAGAAAATTTCAGTAAAGACAGGTTACTAGGAGATGGAGGCTTTGGCACTGTCTACTATGGTAAAGTGCGTGATGGACGAGAAGTTGCAGTGAAGCGTCTCTACGAGCACAACTACAGAAGACTCGAGCAGTTCATGAACGAGATAGAGATCCTCACACGTCTCCATCACAAGAACCTAGTCTCCCTCTACGGATGCACCTCACGCCGCAGCAGAGAGCTTCTCCTCGTCTACGAGTTTGTCCCACACGGCACAGTTGCAGATCATCTCTACGGTGAAACAGAAAACTCAAGAAACAAATGCTACTTAACATGGTCAATACGCATGAGCATAGCTATAGAAACAGCTAGTGCGTTGGCTTACCTTCACGCTTCTGATATCATCCACCGTGATGTCAAGACAACAAACATTCTTCTCGACGGTAACTTCGGAGTCAAAGTAGCGGATTTCGGGTTATCGAGGCTGCGTCCGAGTGATGTGACGCATGTTTCGACTGCTCCACAGGGTACTCCGGGGTATGTTGACCCTGAGTATCATCGCTGCTATCATCTAACGGATAAGAGTGATGTGTACAGCTTTGGAGTGGTTCTTGTTGAGCTGATATCGTCAAAGCCTGCTGTTGATATAAACAGGTGTAAGAGTGAGATTAACCTGTCAAGCTTAGCTGTGAAAAAGATACAGAGCCACGCGACACACGAGCTGATTGATGAGAGTCTTGGATATGGAAAGAATGAAGGAGTTAGGAGAATGACTACGATGGTGGCGGAGTTGGCTTTTCGGTGTTTGCAGCAAGACAGTACAGTGAGGCCGACAATGGAACAAGTTGTGCAAGAGTTAAAGGGAATCCAGAATGAAGAGACAGTAACTTCACATCCTTCGTCGTCACCGAATTGGGAGGAGGCTTCGCTGATAAAGAATATGAAATTTCCACGTTCACCGATCTCTGTGACTGACCAGTGGACCAGTAAATCAACTACACCGAATATTAGTGCCTACGACTGCTAAAGAGATCCATGAGGTATTGGTTTTATTCTCAATATGGGATGCAGTAAGAAGAGTAGTGACGGTGTAGGTATTGAGAGAATGCACATAGTGACATGACTTGCATCTACCATTTGTTTATCATACTCATCTCATCATATGTAACATTAACTCAAAAGGTTCTGACAAAAAGAAAAAGAAAACTTAACTCGTACCTTAGTTGATAGATCCACTAAATGGTATCTTGTAATTCTGTCTTAGACAGAGTTATAAACTTAGGAGTAGACCTGCGGATGATACCAGAACATCCATTACAAATTTACAATTAAAGATACAGCAGATGGGCAATAGCAGATGCATAGGAGAATGTTGGGAAACTAATCTCAGTCTATGAGACAAAATCACGTATCATCATCACATAAGTTGACCATGGAATGTTTCACTCACCAACCAACAAGACTCATGAATGATAGTGAAACTGAACATGTGGTGACTCTAGCCTTGCAGACTGCTTCTACTAATAGTTCCGACGAAGCGTGGATCTTACTTAGTTCATGCATGGAAAACTTCTAATGCGGAAACTCAATCTGTTCGTACGGTACGCTGACAGAGTTGTTTGGGTTTTGTCGGTTTATCTCAAATCTTGTTTTATTGGCATGGTCAAATTCGGAGAAGGATAATAGCAAACTTAATAACTTGTTAGAAAAATACATTTTCTAATATTATTAGACAAATAAATAAATTATATTAAATTAGTTTTGAAACTTTATATATTCTAAATGGAAATATTCTACCAACTGTTTCTTAAGAAAATATTAGGAAACTTGATAATGTTCTACCAATTAAGTGCTGCGACATTCCGTTTATTTTTCATCACTCGAATACTGAAAAGTAAAAAGATATATGAACCGGATCCACTAATTTTTAAGTTTTGAGTTACAGTTCTAATTACAATTGTTTCTGATCCTACGTATAGATAACTATATAAAATCTCCAAAATTTCAAATACATATAAAAATAATCATATGTAAATTTTAAATTTATTAATACTAAAATTCTATATTTTAATTACATACACTCATCGTGCGCAAGGCGCAGATCTTATCCTAGTTTTATTTTATTTTGCTGCAGTTGAATTACATTGTCTAATGTCTCTTTATTTATTGGTCCTAGGTTGCTGAATCTTCCCAAGGAGAAGAGCCCATTAAGGTCGAAGTCCACGCCGGACCGACCCATGACATAAGTTGAGTAAGCAATTGCTTAAAGCCCAACCACTATATGAGATTTTCAACTTAGAAAAAAGGAAAATCCTGATTTTTTTTTTCCTGAATCTATATAGTAATCTTGTTTGAATCACAAAAGAAATGTTAGCCGTTAAAAATTTTCGTTGGTCAAAACAGTAAATGAAAACTTTGTTTGAAACACGCACGTTGTGCAATAGTTAAATATAGTTTCTTGAGCTTGTTTCTAATCGAATGGTAAAAAATGTTGTTTAGTTCTTATCTTTTACAAGAAGACAAGAAAGGATTTTGTATATCTCAAGATAAAAGATGTTTATACTACTGGCAGTCTGGCACAAAAGGTTCCGAAAGCTCAAAGATAGGGAAAGTTCAGTGTCTATAGGCATGTGATTTTTTATTTACTGAAAATCGAAATCTGCACTGCTTTAGTGGGATTGTGATAGCCACTGATAGGTTTCAACGTGCGCTGCTTCTCCTTCAGCGCATCATTCAATTTTGTTATCCTCTTCACCACACTGAAATCTTTACTATTGGTTCTGAGTTCCTATGGAAGTACAATCTTACCTGCATGTGAATATTACACAAGGAATCAAAAAGTTGTAAAGCAAGAAGATCGAATATTAAGGATTAAGGAATAAGGTGCTTTTACGATAAGGACAACCTCAGGATATGAGTATATGATGTAAAGTTGATTAGAATGCGCCATCATCTTTTCTTTTTCGTATATTTCTTTTGATAAAAAGCTATATCAACAATGTATCGGATATTTAAGCAAAAAAAGAAAAACAATGTTTCGGATATATAATTGTATTGTGAGAAATGAGTAGGCAAAACGGCTAAATTCTAGCATTTACACTA